AAATTAATATTTTTAAATAAAAATATATAAAATTAACATCCTTATATTCATTTTCACTAATCAAGGAGTAAATCATGCTCTTACTAAAGAGATAACATGCTCCCTCCGTGTCCAAGGTAAATCACAACCTCGTAAAGAGTAGCCTTGGATGCAAAATCTAGTATCTTCGACATTCTTCAGCCTCCATGGATGTCATTTCAAGCACAATCAAGGTAATAAGCGGACTAAAGAAGTGGCCACTTAGCAGGGAGCATGGTATTGATATATGGAGTTAATACCACATTGGATGAACATAGGCGCACAAAGGTTCATTTTTGCGCAATATATAACAAGTATGTTTCTCTTACATCTTTATGATTGCTATTCGTTTTGTATTATCAAGTTATCACCACTATTTTTTGCCAATTAATCCATGAGAAGTAAGGGATGCAATTATTATAACAAGAAAAATCCTAGAAAGAGCTCAAAAGAGGGGACTTTAAATATTCCTAATAAAAAAATGGACAAAGAATCATACTAACAAAATCACCCAAAGAAAAGAAAAAAAAAAGCACCTGAAGTTGTCTGCTTAATTAAAAGATTCTTAATAATTGAGGGGTTGGATTTTTTTATCAAATTGTCTTAGTTTTTTTTTTTAAAACAACTATAATTTTTTGGAGAACAGGAAAAAAGAATAAGGACAAAAACCCTTATATCTTACTCGAGTAGGTGATAAATAATATCGTTTTTATCCATTCATACGCCAAGTTTTTGTCTTAAGTTTTTTTGTTTGTGCCAAATATAATCCATTTTCACACTATACTATATTTAAAAATATAAAATTTTAATTTTAAGTAATTATTAATTTTTTATGTATTTTTGCTAATTTTAATTAATATTTTATATATTTTTATAATAGTAAAAAACAAAAAAAAAAATCCCATAACAATAGCACAGCATAGCATTGGTAAACAAACATAAGTACGATTGGTTTAAATGCGATAAACATAAAGCTTAGGGGCTTAAGCGTTCATTTAACCCAAAAGTTAGTAGCGTCTGAGATGGAGAAATGCTAATTGACCATACTACCCTTCTTCGTTCTCTAGCCACTTCCCTGAAAATTGAAAAACCCTTTCGGAAATGATGGGGGCACCATACTAAACCCTTCTGCTTCCAGACCAGTCCTCCGTCCATGGCTGCTGCCGTAACCAGCCGAAGCACAACGGACGCAATTAGCGAAAGCTCAAAAATTTACCGGCAGACATGAAATTCGGACAAACCCCATCAAAATCCCAGGTAAGAAACGAAACCAAATAGTTCGATATTCGTTATGACTGTGCATAAGAGCTTGCCTTTTTGAGTTTATGTAGCTAGTATCACTTCAATTGATTTGATCATGACCCGTTTTCACAAAGTCAAAACCGCTGCTGCTCTCAAATGGGCATCTTCGAATCTTGTTGAAAACCCCAAAAAATACCCATTTTGGCAAATGGGGTCATCCCACATTGCAGGCAATCCTAGATGCTATGGAACAAAGGGAACTAGTGTTTGCCGCTTCTCTCGTGCTGCTCGTAGGGAGGCTAGGGCAGCATTCTTTGAGTATTTGTATTGTACTAGAGCCTTACAGTTTAGGGATGCAGAGAATATGAGCAAAAACTCGCCTCATTTTTTTGAAAAGCTGTTGGAGAAGGTTGAAGATGAGAGTGATGTAGGGACGTCTATTTCACGGTTTTTGCGTTACCATCCCATTAATGAATTTGAACCTTTCTTTGAGAGCTTGGGATTGAAACCCTGTGAGTTTGGATCTCTACTACCCCAGGATAGGTTGTTTCTTAGTGATGATAGCTTGTTGTTGGAGAATTATCAGTTGTTGTGTAATTATGGTATTGAACGGAATAAGATAGGAAAGATTTATAAGGAAGCAATTCAAGTTTTTCAGTATGAGCCTGGAGTTCTGCCTTCAAAGCTTGAAGCTTATGAAGAACTGGGGCTAGGCCATTCTTTCATGAAAAAGGTTATTGTCTGCAGTCCCAAGATTTTGATTGGGGATGTAGATAGGGATTTTGTTGAAGTATTGCAGACTCTAATGGACTTGGGATTTGAATATAGTTGGATTGAGGAGCATTTGTTGGAGCAGAATTCTTATAACTGGAGCATAATTCTTCAGGTTCTGAGCTTATTTAGCAAGGTTGGTTGTGGCAGAGGGAAGTTATATGGGTTAATAAGCAACCAACCGGGGCTTATCTTTGAGGATTCAGGGTATAAGACACTTTCTTTTGTTGGGTTCCTAGTGAAATTTGGATCCACAGTGGACCAGTTACGTTCTATATTTCAGGAGTTTCCACAAATCCAAGTAGGGCAATTTGTTTTAAATTTGAAAAGGTGTGTTCTATTTCTAAATGAGATTGACATGGAAGCAAATGAGGTTGGAAAAATTGTGTGTACACACTTCTTGATGCTTGGTACTTCTATGTTGATGAGAACTAATTCTTTACATACATACTTGAATGTTGGGAAAAAGCGGCTTCGTAAATACATCCAGGAGAACCCACAAGAATTGAGTAAATGGGTTCTGGGAGCAAAACTTGAGCCATTTCCAGAACCAGAAGAGGGTGGGAAAAGGCAGTCTAAAATGTTGAAGACCAAGTTCTTGCTGGACTTGGGATATAGAGAGGACCCAGAGAAAATGAAGAAAGCAAGCAAGGTTTTCCGAGGCAGAGGAGCAGAGCTTCAAGAGAGATATGATTGCCTTGTGAATGCTGGTTTGGATAAGAAAGATGTTACCGAAATGGTCAGAGTATCCCCTCAGATTCTAAATCAATCAAAAGAAGTCCTTCAGAGGAAGATTGATTTTCTTGTAAATGAGTTAGGTTATTCTGTAACTACTTTAGCATCATTCCCTTCATATCTTGCCTATACACCGCAGAGGGTCAAGCTCAGATTGTCAATGTACGATTGGCTGAAAGATGAAGGGAAAGAAGAACCTTCAAAGGCCTTGAGCACTATAGTCGCATGCTCAGGCAAAGATTTCATGAAGCAATATGTAAATAGTCATCCTAGAGGTCCTCAAGTTTGGCAGGACTTAAAGGAACAAATTTGCTCTGAGAATTAGTACATTTCCCTATTTGTTGTATTGTTGTGGCTTCTGCCTTGCATGTTGTCACCAAGATGGTAATTTACATAGTAAATCCCCTCTTCTTACCATTTTTTTTCCTTTTTTTTTTCTTATAAGACAAAGCAAGTAGTTTAACCTTGTGAGGAAAGGGGTGAGAAGTGGGGTTATATAGATTCAAAGTTCAAACTTCTATCAACGAGTGAGGAAGTTTTTTAAATTTAAATATTTGGCCAATGAGCCTCAAAGGCTTCCTCCTCTTCTTAATTAGTAGTATATTTTTTTGGTACTTCTGAACGGGCTATACAATAGAGGATAGTCTTTTTTTTTCTCTCTAAATCCCTTCTCACTCAACTCAAGATTCAAATTTGAAATCTCCAACTTATAATTTTAAGCTCTTAACTATTGAGTATCTCTTTCGGGTTCTTCTTATTTAGTAGTATTCTTTCATATTATTTTATTTGAGTGGGAAGTAATTTTACCAATAAATAGCAGCACAAGTGCTAATTCTCATTTCTCACAGCCAACTAACAGTCCAAATCCCAAGGTCTCATTTTCTCAATAAGAATTTCCCCCACATTTTTGGAACTTGAAACAACAAAAATCTGCAAACACTAAGGTAATTACATTATGTAATTATCCTGTTGACTTCTTTAAGTTCCAACAAGGTACAATTAGGCTGTGTTTGGTATATGGGGAATCTTAACGGATGCCATGCCAATATTCTCCCCATGAAAGCATAAATCTGAGAAATTTCCCTTTTCTTCTTTTAGGATAAATTGAGAAATTCTTTATCATGTTATTAAGTGAAAAACACCTTTCAACTACAAAGATGGAGCCATTTTATCAGATGATGACATTCATGACTTTGTATTCCATGCATGTGGAAGATCAAAAGACAATTATACCCTTTGAACGAATCAAGAATTTGAAACACTCAACTTAAAAGCAGAGGTGGAAATTTTGACCATCTAATAATATAACACACGCAGTATCTTAAATTGTTAAAATTTTGATATTTAAATTAAGATTTTTAAGTTTGAACTTTAAATTAAAACAAATGGAAAGGAATTATAGCACCTGTTCCTTCAAATTTACCGATATTAATCATATTAAATAGATGCATTTCTCTTCTTGAACAAGTTCGATCCTACCTCATATCAAATTGTTCATAAAAAAATAAAGAGCAATTATAGAAGGTAAGGGACATTTTTATTATAAGTTATGATTTATTTACACATAAGTTTTATATATCATATTTTATAAAATTTTAATTTTTTACTTTTTTTACTTTTAATTATTAAAATTTATTATTTTTTATTATATTTATTTAAAATAATTATTTTTTTATTTTAAAAAATCATGATAAATCTTACATACTAAAAGTAAAAAAATGAATAATTAAAATTTTATGTAAACATAATATACAAAATTTATTTATGAATGAATTCTCATAATTTTATTATCATTATCACAAAAATATATATACACACAATGAAAACGTATACATGTTAAAAGGACAATTATACCCTCAAGACAATCTAGAAATTTCAAAATGATGGGCATAGGGTTAAGTGTAATGGAAGGCAAATTGATGGATAGTTTGGTCATATCAATAATAACACACATGCACCACTAATGCACCACTGATGCACCACCCTTGTTGTTCTAACGCGCTTTAAACTAGTCCAACCCAAGTACAGTCTCTCCTCGTACCTGTTTTATCCCGGCACCTACGTGCACACACTCAATAGGGTAGTGGCTAACACATTTCAAAGCTACGCGTGCACTTAACATGGGGATGTCTCTGTTTACAGAATCTGTATCCCACCTTTGGAAATCAAATCTGAACATAAAAAAGGGTTGTGTGCAAACACACCGTCCTACGTCCTAACATGATCACCGTACACGTGGTGGGTCAAGGGCTTACTCTTTAATACGTTTAATATGGGCATGGTTTTTGAGTCCTCTTAAAAAAATTTAAAAAACTCTAAAACATCATTAGGAAACTTTATAAATGAATTAATTTTTAGAGTTTTAGGTATTTATTTTAAAATATTATACTAAATTAGTAATTTTTATTTTTAATTATTTAAATTTTAAAAAACTTTTAATTTGTATTTTTAAATATTTTTTTTTATAAATTTATACAAAAATATAAAAAATGACTTTAATTTTAATGTTATTATTATGTAAATAAATTTAATTAAATAATTAATAAATTAAATATTAAGTTTTATTCTTTTAAAGATTTTAACATATATTGTTAAAAAACAATTTAAATATACTCAAAATTTAAAATTTAAAACCACATCCAGCCCCTAAATTGAGACTAGAGAGTCAATATTATCATAAAGGTCAGAAATTTATGTCCTTTTACCCCCTCAGGCCCCAATTTTCCTCCAAAACCGTTCAAAGGAAACAAAAAAACACTGCTGCTTACCATTTTCTCTTCCTCTCTGTTCTGGTTGCTTTCTCTCTGTCTCTGCTCATTGGCTGAGTTCTAGAACCTCATTACTATTTCCATCTTTTCTTCTTCAAGTTTCAGTCTTTTTTATTATGCTGCTTTACATCATACCGTATCTGATCTGGGTTTTCATTAGTTTTTATTAAGAAGATAGTTTTCACAAAACTGTTATGTAGCTTGGCCACAGTGTTTGAAACCATCTTTATAAACAAAACCCATCTGTTTCTTGCGGTTTTGGACTTTTGGTGCTTTCTTTATCGGCGAAATCAGATTTTTGAGAAATGGGGTTTGGACAAAGATGCAGATTTGGATGTATTTTGTGAGGTTAGTTTCATTTCCCTTCTATCTATATCCAAAGAACTCTATCTAAAAGTATATGGGAAGGTATTGCATATGGTTTTTCTTTCATTTTTTGTGGTTTTAATGATAGAGTTCGTGTTGTGTTCTGTAATGATTTTTTTTCATTTATATCTTGAATCATAGATTTCTTACGTTTTTGGACCCCAGAGATTGGAAGATGTTTGCATAAATGTGCCTGATAAGGTAATCTGCTATATAGATGAGGTTATTCTACATTTTGAGGAAGGTCATGTTGGCATGATCAGAAAATTTTTAAGTATGGCATTTTCTTCTCTTCTCCCTCTTGTTTTTGGAAAGAAGTTGATTGGGATTTTTATTTTAGCACTCAAATGTTGTAGATGACATGGATTTGCTTTAGTCTGGTTCATTATTTCTTGGCTTCTTGTGTATTGCGCTGTTTGAGGACAGTTTGGAAATGGGATTATTAGGTTTTGATGTTTGCTCAGGTCTGCTTGGTGTTGTTAATGATGCATGCTTTGATGTCCCAGAAAACGTAGAAAAGGGGAGGGATTTGAAATATTGAATGTAGACCATTTCTGTTAATTGAGAGGTGAGAAAGCAAGGCTCGCACTTTAATAAACCATTTCAGACAAAGGAGTTTCTGATGTGCTTTAGAAAGGTTTTTCTTGTTTTCCATCTGAATCTGTAACATTGCCAAACTAAAAATTGAACTTTGCAGTGGTTCTCATTTGATGTTTCAGCAATTGGACGGACAGTAGAAGAAGTGGGGTTTTATGGATCAACTATGTTGGTTTCTTGCATAAAGCCTTCTTCATTTTCTTTATAGAGAAATTTTCTTTTATCATCTGATAATTATCCTTACATGTCGCTGTTTAATTTTGATTTTACGTCTGAACACATCCTTTTGTCTTTGTAGAGATCTCTGTTAGTTGTTTGAAATTGCTTTCAAAAGGGTTCCTGCATCATGGGAAGAGGTAGAGGAAAAAGTAAGAAGCAGACTGTCGCATCTCGTGAGGACACAGGAAGTGGTGAAGAAGAAAAGATTCCGGTGCACAGAAAAAGAGGAAGGCCACAAAAGCCATTGAAGGATAATATGGACGAAGAAGAAGTAGAGAAGACAGAGGAAGATGGTGGTGATGCAAAAGGTTCCGTCACTGGCAAAGATATGAAAAATCATGCTGCTGCAGAGAATGGAAGGAAAAGGAAGAGAGCCAGGCAGGCTAAAGAAGATATAGATTCAGTCAAAGAAGAGAATGGCATTGCATCAAAGTCCAGCACTGATGATTCAAAAAAATCTGCTGGATATCGACAAAATGGTAGCAGGCGGAAAAACAAGCCTCGGCGAGCTGCTGAAGCTGGTGTCGAGTGCAAGTGAGGTTCTACTTGGCTATCACAATTTACTTATACGTACTTAGCAAGGGGTTTTGCTCCTGTGTGGAGGCAGATGTTTCTTTCACTATATGTTATTTGTTTTTTTGTAGTTTCTGAATCCCAATTTTCACAAATGTTTTTCTTTGCTGGGAAGGTTTTTGATCACTTTATATAGGGCATGTAATCCTTCATGATGTTATCGCTATTCCAACATCATTTTGCTAGTCCATTGATAGCATCATTTTATAACTATGAGCTGTTAGCAGCTATCGTTTTTGAGATAAATGTTTTCTCTTATTACATTCATCTTCCTATCTGCTATATATGCCATCTATCCTTCTATACATGCTTTTGCCTTTTCTTTCTGGATTAAATTTGTATATGGAGGAACACAGCAGGATATATAATAAAGCTGGAGACCGGTGGATATAAAGTATTACAGGGAAGCATTGATGAATTGAATCCTCAAGAGGGAGGCTTTGGATTGTTGGGTGCATTTCTCATGCCAAATGGGTGAGACTTGCATTTAAGTGCACCTTGATAAAGGACATCTGTTTATTTAGGGAATGCCTTAATAGACAAATATTTTACTGATGAATGTATTTTTGTTTTTTGGTACAACTGAAGATGGAATCTAGATGGTTCTCTCCTTCCAAATTCCTCATGATCAAATCCAAAATCTTCAACTTAGTGTCTCAAATTCTTATTAAGATATCCCTTTAGAGGAAGGATGAATCCACTTTGCTCTCTGAATTACACACTTGTAGTTTTTTCTACGAAGAACTTAGGGTGGATCTGCTTACGAAGAACTTAGGATGGATGTGCTTTATTTTCTGTGTTTATTTATATTCCATAGGTACTTTAAATTGAATTTTTAAGACATTCAGTAAAAAACTGCCTACTTGCAGACTGCAGCCATAAATTTTTTTCAGCAAGTTGGCTTGTTTGTTTATGTAATTTGGCTTCTTTGATTACAAATATGGTATCTGGTAGCTTTGTTATTGTATTCAACACACTTTAGTTGGATATGGCAAATGCTCTGCATTCTGCAACAAATATTGCTTCAACCCCCAAGCAGCAGTCTGCTACCCCATACCTCTATACCTCTTCTTTTGCCTCGTAAATGTTCTTGTTTTTTATTTGCTCCATTGATTCTTGCTTGTTTAATAATATATCGAGATGACTGGGGACCCTCCCTCTTCCTTTATGGCCACACATTGAGTTGGTGTGTCCTATTCTTGTATGTACTAATAGTATTAAGGATGAGATCTAACTCAAATTCAATTATTACAGCTGTAATACGATATAATAGTTCAATACAATCTAAATAACGAAACACTAAACTCATAACAAAATAAAACATTTATGTGTTCAACTATATTTTGGGGATGAACAAGTGTCATATGACATGATAAACCTCTAACATGGTACCAAACATGGAAAAGGAGATGGTGTTGCTCCTCTAGACTCTAGTGTGGGCTTTAGGCCCATAATTGTAACTGGTAAATTTACATAGTCCATGACTGTGGGCTCTTTTATGGACCCAATAATGGCATAACATCTCAAAACAGGTCGGCAGTGGTACTGATTCATTACTGAGTCAAATTACCTATAAAATATTCTGCAACTTTTGTTGGGAAATCAAATGTTCCTCTGCTTGAGAAATTGAAGCATAAAAAAAGGGAACTTTGTAGTTTGTATTCTTAATTCTTGAGTTGTTTTCTGATCATGTGCTTCACATTAATGTTCTGCAACTTTTGTTAAATCCTAGAATTAATGTAAACTAAATAAGATTTGCCCTCGTGTTAAATGCCCTTGGACCTTCGAAGTTGCAATTATTTTAACATGGAAAGCTACATTCTTTAATTTTTTTTCGTTACATTCTAGAAATCTACAACCCAATGTGACATTGAGCAAGGTGTAACATTGAGGAACACACAAAGGGTGTTAAGAGGACCACACCGCCATCCCTAAAGGGTGCATTGGGGATAGAATTAGGGAATTCTTTGACCTACTTATTTTGTGATTATGGAAAGTTTTTGTTGTAATATGAGATTTTTTTAATATGGCATTTCAAGTTTACGTTTTAGGTTTTTTATTTTTCTTATTTTAGTTGCATAATTGGATATAATAATTTTCAATCCTTTATCTCACTCCACCCCTATGTTATGCGACTCAAACTCAGGACATTTTACTTTCAATAAAAAGAGATGATTATTGAGTTATTTAGATTATAAACACATTTTAGGTATTTTAATTAGTAAAAAATGATACATTAAAAAACTGTCAAATAAATTAAATTCTTGTTGATTCAATATACTCTTTTTAATAAAGAAGGGCCAACTGTATTTTTTGTTTGCCGACAATGTCATGTTATACTTGTTTGTAACTACCAAACTAAAGAGAGGTCAAGAATGAATGGTCCACGTTTTTTTTTTTTTTTTTT